GGGGGGGGGGGATTTATCGATTAGGTGACAACAAGGTTTGTGACTCTTTGATCTATCGGTTGACTCTGTCTTTTTAACATCCTTGATCTTGATTTGTTTCCAGGAGCAGAGATCGAATGAAATAGGCAATCAAGTTCGTATTCTATTCGGTTTACGGCTTCATTCCCAGAGTAAGGAGAAAGAAGACACAGTGCCGGGGAATAGCTGCGAGAGGGACTTCTCTGAGTAAAGAGATAAGTAAGGGTAATAGTCATTCCAATTGAGTAGGTGAAGAGTCTCTTTCGAGCGAAATCCTTTACCACACCTAACCAAATGAAAGAAAGTAAGAGAGAGAGTGACTGCCTATTTCTTAAATGAAAATAAAGGACTTCCTTATCCTAAGGCTGTCACTGAATAAATCTGGTAACTAATGCCGGCCAGAATGGCTGAGGTAAGTATCGTCGCATCGCCTCTAACAACTTCTTTTGCTTTGTAGCTACGACTCTTATCCTTCCTAAGTGGTTCGTAAGTCTTTCTTAGTTTAGACATCTAAAGACTGTTTGCGCCCCTTGTTCCTGCTTTAGCCCGTGAGGTATTGCTCTTGTTGTTCTTTTTAGTTTCAGTGAAGTGCTTATAGGGCCTAACTTCCGATTTAGCTATTTCTGTGATAGAAGAAGAGTATATTATAGAATAGACTATATCCCTAGACCCGGTATGGAAAGGGAGTAAGGTAATTCATCATCAACCAAGGCAGGAATCATTAGAGTATTGTGTTGCCCTCTAATAGGATTATACAGAGCAACAGGAAGGTCGGAATCTAGCAAATCTGTCTTTCGAGTGTAGCCCCGCACCTTACCCATCGTGTAATGATAATGTGCCTTCACCCTATGATCTTAGTGCTTCGATTGCGCCTTTTGTATTTGTAACTGTAAGTGCATATGTATACACTAATTTATATGTGGGTTCCGCTTCAGGAAAGACGAGTTGACTCCACAAAGGAGAAAATTATTACCTCGGATATTCCATTAATGGTTACCTAGTCCAGGAAAGGAAAAGAAAGGGCAATCTGCTAGAGGCACTTTCCTATTCCTTGCTGCAATGTATCCCAGGTTGGCTACCTTTCCCTTACAAAATCCTAGGAGACTCTTGCTTGTAGGAGTAAGGAAGATTTCTGATTCACCGTGTGGACCTAAAAACAATCTACTAAAGGTCTTCCGATTCTACTGCGGGTATTTTATTTTCTTGGGTCTTATCGATCTATGCCCTTTTGGTCTATGGGGTATCCCCCTTTTCCATTTTTCTTTCTTTCATCTTCCTAATTCCTCAAGTAAGCTTTATTCCAGTCTGACTAATGTAGGGGGGACGACCTCATTTCGTCATTTAAATCTATTCGTCTTAACCCTGCTTCGGCGATTCAATCCGACATTTCATTTCCCCCTTCAACATTTGATTTTTCGCATCTAAGAGCTGATCTTACAAAAGGAGTACAATGCGATAACAAGCGATTTGTGATCAATTAAAAGTACCATCGGATTCTGTACCCATCGGTCTTGGATCCTCACCTTAAACAATTTCGTTTGGTTATGAAAGAAAGGCTTTATCACTAGCATTAAGGTCTCTATCAAGCACTCTTCTAAAGTTATCTTCAAGCCCTCATATTCAACTCGCTGCCTCATTCACATAGCATGAACTTGCTCGAAATACTTTCTCCTACTATGGTGGAGTTTACCAAGAACTCTAAATGTTCGAAGCGCCGGTTCTGTTTCAGAAGAAGCATGCTGGCAATTTAAGGTTTTGCATCAATTATAGAGCGCTGAACAAAGTGACCATCAAGAACAAGTATCTTATGCCTCTTATTGCAGACCTTTTCGATCAGATGAGTGGAGCACGATACTTCACGAAATTTGATTAAAAGTCCTATTCAAGTGCATATATGTATTATTGTGTTCTTAATTACTTTTACTAGCAATTCTGCTTACGTGATATTTTTAAAAATAAAAAATTAACTGGATTGTATCGATATCGAAGAGAAACCAAAATGATTGAGATAGTTTCGAAAATTTAATTTTTAATTATATAAAATAGAAATAAAAAAATTAATACCATAAAAATTTAATAATATAATCGACGGAACCGAACCATTTACCCCTAGTTAGAACTTAGGGTGTTGAGACACCAAGAAATCTCAGTTTCTTAAATTATTATGGAAATATGGACTCATGCCTAACTTTTATTTTTGCTCTTAGATGGCGCAAATTTACATAACTTTATTAAACCAAAAAACGAGAACATAAAAATGATAAAAAGAGGAGTACAATAACCTAATAAATAACTAAATTGTGACAAAACTTAGTACAATTTTTTTTAAATATAAAACTCGCAAAGTTAGTCATATAGAATCTCAATCGATATCATTTTGATAATCCTAAATATGTTTTAACATCATCTAAATTTTCTCCATCTAGCGTCAAATAAAATAATACGTTAACGACAAATATATAATGATAATGAAAAATAATATAAAAAAATCCAACAAAGAACATAAAGGGAGGATTCGAAAAGGAAATCAAAGCTCCTAGAAATTGCTATTTTAGTTGTTCTTATTTGGCTCTTCTTCTAGAAGTATATTAAAAATAAAAGAAATTAGGGAAAAGAGGAAATAAATATGCAAGGACAGTTTTTGCGTCTTTCCCAAGTGGACGGATAGTTGAATAGTAATACCAAGAAGCGCGCTGTGCCGTCACCGTTCATAATTCATATACAGCGCAATGACACACAATAATTTATATAGTCCACAAATTCAAGGTCAGGTTGGTCCCCTCCACTATTTTGCTGCTAATTTCGTATCCAACGACGCACTATATTGAAAAACTCATTTCAACAAAAACAAACAAGTTATTCCATAATTAATTATTCGAAATTAATTATTTCATACTTTTACGAGGATAAAAAGTACTACAAATAATAAATTTCAAAATTAATTATACCACGAATTTATCCCAATTAAATGTTAGATAAACTTATTTTAAATTTAATTTTAAAATTAATTATTCTTTATTTCTTGTACCAAATGAGTGCGCATCCATCATTTTAAGTATTCGGATTCAAGTTCTGAAAATTAATTCATCTTTTTTGACAGAGTGCATTTTGTTCTTATAAATGAGATTTCTATGTGAATCTGAATTAGTAAGAGTCCAAAACAAATACTCATGTGGCTAGCGTGCACTAGTGCCTATAAAAAGAAGACAAAAACTCTCTGCTCTCTAATTACGTAATAAGCCCCTGAATTACAAAAATAAAAAAGAAATTTAGCTGAATCAATAATTGTAGCAGTACAAAAATATCAACGCAAACTGTAATAGAAGTAGATACATTGAACCTGGACATGTTAATCTTGGGTCTATAAAAACTCCACCAACTAAACTGTTTTCATATCGGCGTAAAACCACAAATCAGTCTCCTGCCTTTTATTCCTTTCTTTTAAGCTCAATAATAATAATAATAATAATAATAGCTATATTTGTTTCCACTATTTTCTCAACTACTACTATTTCCTTCAACATGTTTTCGACAATTGCTGTGCCTTCAAACCAAACAAAGCCTCATCGCCGGGAGATCTCCGCCGTGCCGGAGAGTGAGATACTCAGGAGAAGAAATGAGGAGTTGGAGAAAGAATTGAAAAAGAGCATTGAGAGGGAAGAGAAAATGAAGAAGGAATTACAGAAAACATGGGAGAGACTAAGGGTGGCGGAGGAGGCTGAGGAGCGACTTTGCTCTCAGCTCGGTGAACTTGAGGCCGAGGCTGTTGATCAGGCTCGGACTTACAGGACACGCGTCATCCATTTGATGGATCAACTCTCTCTGGCCCAGAAACTTCTCGAATCAGCTTCTATTACCGTTCCCAGTATCCAATGATTGTAGGGGAAATGGAGTTTGACGCTTCATCTCCATTTTCAAACTAGGTAGAGCACGTACGTACGCCTGTAAAATTATGTGTTGGTTTCAAATGAAAAGATGAAAGATTAGGCACTCGGATTAATGGAGGTGTACATTAACTTGTTTTTTTCTTCTTCTTGTTTTCTTCTCCGAGGTGTGATGGCGGAATTTTTTGTTTCTCTTTATCTTCTTCAAGCTTTCTCCGGTGCATGGTCTGGTTATTAGCTAACCAGTTTTAACTTCAGCTCTTTTTTTACGTCCATTAAAAAAAAAAGTAAATACATAAGGTATCTTTTTTTTTTTTTTGAACGCTAAGGAAGCATATATATTAATATAAGCAAAACTTACACCCAAGTTACATAGTACATTACTATTGTTTAAAGTTACTAGATTATTACAAACACTGGTACTTAGTTGTTTAATTTCAAAACAAAGACCTTGCATGTCCTTTTCCAAAACAGTTTCAACAAAAAGAGGTGGGCGTGCAAGGTGATAGCATTTATTCGGCTTGAAATTTTTGACTGCTTCCTTAGCTAGGTGATCTGTCTCAATACTGGGGATTTCAGTTGGTGCATCAATGATCTGCAGTTAAGTAAACATGCATTAGTTTCTCATCCATAAGCATCTTTATTATATCTGTTGAATCTGTTTCAATCTCTATAGTAGCATATGACATCTCCACAGCTAATTTTAGTCCTTGCTCCAATGCTAAAAGTTCAGCCTGCAAGGAGCATGTTGTATAGCAGGATTTTGAAAAACCCATGATCCATTTACCTGAGTTGTTTCTGAAAATCCCTCCTATACCTGCATGAAGTTTTTATTTCAAGAATGCCCTATCAATGTTATGTTTTATCGTATTTGGAGGAGGTCTTTCCCAGTGGATGTTAATTTTGATTGAAGATTGTTGTATGAGATTTTTTCCAATAAAGAAGAGAAATTCCCATATTTGATGGAGAACCTGGCTAGGATTAATATCCAGGTCAAAATTGTTTACGTTGTTATTTCTATTCTTCCACAAATTCCAAATTGAAAAGGAGAGAATATTTTTCCAAGCATAATGGTGATGACTATCTTGGAGATGAGAGTTCTTTAAGATAGTTAACCAGTTGGACCGAGCATTACTCTGATTGATTATTAGACTAACACTTGACCAATAATTGGTAGTTATAGGGCATTGGAGAAAAATGTGAGTGGCATCCTCAGGCCCTTGTTTACACTAGGGCAAGTAGGATTAATATTAATACCAATATAGTGAAGGTAGGCTCTGCAAGGAATTTTACTATGCATGTATTGCCAAATAAAGAACTTGATTTTAGTAGGACAATGGAGATCTCAAATCCAATTAAAATTAGACTCTTTATCCCGAGTGATCAAATGGTTATCCTCTAGAAGTTTGTAGCAAGACTTGGAGGTAAATATGCCATTACTATTCATGTCCCAGGACATGTGATCTTTACCTATTGAGCATAACGACATAGAAGTAGCATTGATCTTGTTTGTTAGGTTGGGGGTAGGTCAAAGGAAATTTTTGAGACATCCCAATGATCATTCCTTATCAGCTGACTAAGAGAGATTGAGTAATCAGATTTATGGAGATGACCTTCTATACTATTTCTAAGGCCAGGAGCATTATGAATCCATCTAGAAGTCCAAATATCAATTTTAGAATTTCTACTCGGATGCCACAAGGTTCCATTCATAAGGATTTTATATCCTTTCAGAAGAGCTGCCCAGATATATGAACAATTTGAGGAAGATTTTTTATGGGCATATTTACTGACAATTAATTGAGTCCAAGGGTTTTGAGGAGAGGTAATAAGGCGCCAACTAAGGCTAGTAACGAGAACAAAATTTTTTTGGAAGGTTGAATGAATTCTTAGGCCACCTTCTGATTTTTGCTTTGTGACGGTTTTTCAATTTACTAAATGGAGTTTTTTCTTAGTATTAGTGGTACCCCATATGAAATCCCTTTGAATCTTATCAATTTGACTTAACACTTTTTTAGGGAGCATAGTGTATTGCATTACATGAGAAGACATATCATTAAGAGTTGAGGATGCTAAGGTGGTTCTTCCCGCAATATTAAGAAGATTAGTTTTCCAAAGAGAGAGTTTAGCTCACATTTTGTCAATGACAAACTGAAAATCCTTAGGCTTTGGTTTGAGGTTTAGAATAGGGAATCCAAGGTATTTCCCAAACTCAACACTAGGCCTCATGTTAAATAAGCTTACAAAATGGTTAGAAATGTCTTGTGGACACTTTTTGGAGAACACAATCCTGGATTTAGAGTAATTAATAGACATCCCAATTTCTTCCATAAACAATTTGAAGCATTGATTGATACAATTACCCGTCTTATGGTTGGTTTTACCCATTAAGGTCAAATCATCGACAAAAAATAGGTGTGAAAAATAAGGATCCCTTGGGTAATTTTTATCGGATCCCACATCAAAGTGTCCACTTGATTATCAATTAACCTAGACATAAGTTCCATACATAGAATAAATATGTATGGTGACATGGGGTCACCTTGACAGATTCCTCTACTCGGGCTAAAGTAATTTGTCTTGGTTCCATTGACAAGAATACCAATTTTACTAGTGCAAATACAATGTATAATGAGTTTAGATAATTTGGGAGGAAAGTGAAAGAAAACAAGAGTTTTATGAATAAAATCCCATTTTAACTTATCAAATGCCTTTTCAAGGTCATTAATAACATATCATATTTAGAACTGTTGAGGAGCATATATTATTGATAATTTCTTAAATCACAATGGCATTATCGCTAGCTTTCCTATTATTTAAGAAACTAGATTGAGTAGGGCTAATAATGACTGAAAGAAAGTGTTTTAGTATATTAGCAATAACTTTGGTAATTATTTTGTACACCGTATTACAAAGTCCAATAGGTCTAATTTTTTTTAGATCAGTGGCATTGTCAATTTTGGGGACGAGGCGCAAGTACATATCATAATACCCTTAGGGGGAGATTGAGATTCAAATGCTTCTTGGCAGAACTTTGTGACGGAATCTCCAACTATATTCCAATATCTCTGGTAAAAGAAGGGGTGGATACCATCTTGACCCGGGGCCTTAAAGGGCTTGAACGGAAAAATAGCTTTTTTGATTTCTTCCTTAGTAAGAGGATTATCAAGGATGATTAAATCATTGGTTCTGAAAGAGTCATTTTGATTTTTAAAAGAAGCCATCTTACTAATAGTTTTAGAAATCTTGTAGGAATTATCAAAATAGTTGAAAGTGTGTTCTAAAATTGATTTAGCATCAATAATCTAGTTACCTTTTTCATCTTTAAAGTACATAATAGAGTTAGTACGTTTCCTATTGGTAGCCATACTGTGGAAGAAACGAGTATTGACATCTCCTTCATTACACCAACTAATTCTTGAACGAAGCTTCCAAAAGTCTTATTCCATTTTTAGAAGGGCATTATACTCTTGTTGGAAAGTAGTTTTCAAGTTCATTAGGAAAGAACTAGGTTGGTACTTTGGCGAATTTTGAATCCCATCTAGGCGTGCCAAAAGTCTTTTTTTCTTTTTAAAGATATCACCAAAAGTATTATTTTTCCAAGGAATGATTTTTTCTTTAAAAATCTAATGAGCCTTATGGAGGTCATTTATTTGCCAACTAGTCCTAATTATATTAACAAAGTCAGGATGCCTATACCAAATAGCTTCAAGTCCAAATGGTTTGCCATTATGAATGGTATTGTTAGGGAACAATTGGATTAATAAGGGATTATGATCAGAGTGAGTTTTTGGAAGGTGGACAACCATAGCTTTTGGGAACGGACTCATCCAATTATCGTTTGCAAATATTCTATCTAAACGTTCCATAATTAATTGGTTAGATTTTCTACGGTGGTTAGACCACGTATATTTACAACCTTTAAAACCAAGATAAAAAAGGTTACAATGATTAACACTAGACCACAGATGAGAACTACGCCTACTGTTAATATTTTTACCCCCAAATTTATCATCCATGCAAAAAGTATCATTAAAATCACCTCATAAAAGCCATGGTCCATAATAATGTTCATAAATTCCTTCAATATTACTCCAACAATTATTCCTATTTGCTACTTTAGTACTAGCATAAATGGATGAAAAAAGCCAAGAAATATTTAAAGGACGTACCTCAATATTAGCATGTATCTCTTGGTTCCTTCTCACAAAGTCTTTCACTGTAACCACGTCTGATTTCCATAGAATGACCATTCCTCCAGACTGTCCCTCACCTGGGACTTCGATCATTTGAGTGAAGGGAAAGTCATTGAGGAGAGAGACGCGGTTTTCCATTCGAGTCTCCAGTAAGGTGACAACACTGGGTATATGAGTATCAATCATTTCTCTAAAGTTTACTTTAAAAGCATTGTTATTACTACCCCTTATGTTCCAAATGATAAAGTTAATTGGATGAGGCATCATATTAGGGAGATTAGGGTTATGCATGCTACCATTATTCCTCATTCTTAGTGGAGGGGGAGTTGGGTTCCTTCTGATCGAAGGTACCAGGATCATTGCATAACTTCCAACAGTGGGGTCTTGTGGAGGCCTGGCATCCATTGAGAATTTATAGAGTGTTGGGGGACAACTGAGAACATATGTCTTCTCGCGCATTTCCCTGAATAGATATACCTTTACATCGTTTAGACTTGAAAACTCTAGGATTTGGTCTGACCTACTCCTCTGCATCCTTTATTGGATGATCTTCTGGTTCTGGTTTATTAGGAGGAGCTTGTTGTTGTGGAACATTGTTTTGATCTAGAGGACCATTTGGTTGGGGATTGTTTGCATGTGGAGGACTTTGCATTTGGTTGGCCATTCGTTGCATGGGTGTTTGGAATAGACCATGTCATGAATATTGGGTTCATGTTCGAGATCTCCCCCGGTGGAAAGAATGGGAGATCCACTTGCATGTTCTGAGTTTGGATTGGGTTGAAGTGAGGTGGTAGACTCCATTGGTTTATCATGGTTTGGGTTAGGTTGAAGTTCATCGATGGAGCTAAGGGGTGTAATATGTTGTTCAACCAAACATGGTTGAAGTAGTTGCTCATTGCCATATGCATCCCTTCCGATACAAACTGGGCTAGGAAGTGTGAGTTTTGGAGGACTATCACAGTTTCCTTCCCATACAATATCATGTTGAATGATATTGCTTGC